AAAAATCATTATTAAGTTCCTTGAAAAACATGTTTTACAAAAAAAATGCTTATGGATGTATGGATGAATGATAATGCAATAATTACACATAAGTTCACAAACATGGGGTTCAAAGGTTCAACGCTTCGAGCACAGAGTCAAAGGTAAATCCCACCCTCAGGTTATGTACTAAAGGTTTAATCACACCTGCAAGACAAGGTTCTAAGAGTTCCCAGAGTCTACAGTCCTCCTTCGGATATTACCAACGTCTTAATTACTCAATAATTAGCAATATTCTCAAGAGAAACTCATTCGAGCGTAGCATCGCATGACAACTACTTCCAGATTACTCCGTTATAGTCTCCGCACTACACCTAAAAGGCCAAGATGGGTTAGGGTTCTACGGTTCTCAGCTTCTCTGGCTCCCAGGTCGAAAGCAATAATGTCTTCCCGATTACTCGGTAAACAAATACTACATTCAAAGGGGCTTTCCACTGAGTGGGGGATTTCATGTCTCCTTCTTCAGGATTACTCCCTCAAAGTTAACATGACTATACCGCCCGTCCTATTCTTAAGTGTAACTTAGTCCGGGTATATGACTTGTCCTTTGTAAATATCATTAACACCAAAATAACCACAATATAAACATATAATCAAATAATCAAATAATGATAGAACAGATAAGACAAACTAGGCTTAACCCACTTAGGGGTGGACCAGCAAGAGGTCAATCTTTCCCCAACAGAGTCACCAATTCTGTAGTGATAAAAAATGTAGCGGGGTAAATCGAAGATCGAGCTATTAATTAACTCGACTCACAAAAGCAAGAGTCGCCACCGCACTTTATTATTTCTAAGGGAAAAGGGAAAAGAGCGAAATAAAACCCTAAAATATGAAATGTAAAATAATATTTAAAAGTAATGAAAATACAATGCATTTTTGAAAAGAGATCTAGAGTTCGGGGGTTGGTTATGCAATGGGAAGGTATTAGCACCCATTGCATCTATAGTATCCTATAGGAACCTTTTGAAATATCTGTTTATTAAAATTGTTTGTTTGATTAAAATGGTTTGTTTGGCTAAAATGGGTATGGACGAGATTTTGAAGATACGACGACCTAATGTCGAAGTTTTGACTTAAAAGGTGTGAGTTTGAAAGTGGAGTATTTTAGGAAAATTATATTAGGTTTAGCAAAATAACAAACAAAAGATGAATGAGGGTATTCACACGATTGGATGAGATGTGTTCGATGACGTAAAGTCAACAAAGTTAAGACATTTCCTTGGATTTGAGATGGATGAAAGATATAAAGATTAAACGATCGATGATAAAATTAATTAAAATGACAATTGAACAATTAAATAATGAAAATTAAATTACACTAGCATGCATTTTGAATAAATTAAATAAATAGCAAAGATTAAAGAAAAAAATAAATTATGAAACATGTATTTTTAATAATTAAACAAATAAAAAAATTAATCACAAACTAAATTATGAAATATGTATTTTTGAATAATTAAGATAATAAAAGATTTAAAACAAGTTAACAAAAATTAAATAAAAATTAGTTATAAGAGATGTGGTTTTTTATATTTATAATGAAATAATAATAATACATAAACTAAACTAATATATATATATATATATATATATATATATATATATATATATATATATATATATATATATATATATAAAAATCAAATTAATAGAATTTAAAGAAAAGGGTTAAGAGAGCAAGAAAGAAAAATGCCCCAGCAGGGATCGAGCTTGAGCCTTTAAGGGTAATGGATAGTGCAAGTTGCCAGCTGAGCTACCTTACTAATCGTTATTATTATGATTTTATTAATAAATAATGGTATCGAAGGTAATGGGATTGGGCCAAAAGGCCCATTGGGCCGACCCGATTTGGGAAGAGAACAAGGAAAAGTTGGTAACCCTAAAAAGAAATAAGCGCCGCTGGAGTTGTTGTGTCTTGGGAAGAAACAAACAAAATAAAATTCTCTAAATAGCTTTGCTTCTTATGTTTTATCGTGAAAAAAAACGAAAAAGATTAAAACCCTCTTTTCACGCTACTTCATTCTGTAACACTCTCCCTCATCTCTTCCCTACTTCTCTTCACAGCACCTTCCATATCAAATTCCTCAATAAATTCACTCTCAATTAAATCATCAACTTTCTCCTCTTCTTCTTTGGTCTGAAACCGATTGATTCTTTGAACTGCTCCATTACTGCCTTATTGCATCTTCCATCATGAAGAGGTGCACTGAAAATACCTCAGCGTGATTCTCCTGAAACAATTATAACATCTTTGCTTCCATTTAAGCGAGGTGGATTTACACGGTGTGGAAATGGTAGGTCCATGGCAAAAGGAAGAATTTTAGGTTTTGTGAGGTGCGGTCTATGGAAGTTACAGTGGTTTGGGTTTTGTTATCGAATGGTTGGAGAAGGGAGGAAGACAGTGGTGGAAGGATAATGATGCCATAAACCAAAGAGATAAAAGAAGGTGCAAAGAAAATATGCAAAGGTGATAAAATAAAGATTGGTCAACAATATATTTGACTTTGGATTTGATATTGAAAAGTAGTGTTGCAAAAATAATATTCATGATATTAACAATTTTTTCTTGTTCAGTTCTTAAAGTTTATAAGAGTGAGGGATAGAGAGAAAAAGGTTAAAATTTTAGAGTTTAAGAGATAAGTTGAGTTTTCGTTGTATTTCTGTATGAGTTTTTGTTCTGAGTTTTGGTTCTGAGTTTTTGGTTGAGTTTTTGGTTCTGAGTTTTTGGTTCTGAGTTTTTGGTTCTGAGTTTTGGTTATGAGTTTTTGGTTCTGAGTTTTTGGTTATGAGTTTTTGGTTGAGTTTTAGTTGAGTTTTGGTTGAGTTAACAGGTTCTGCTTTGAAGTAATGTTATGGTGCAGAAGTAGCAGTATGAAGCCGACAGAAGAATGGAAGATGATGGAGGAAGAAGCAAGAGGATACAGTGGGTGGTAAGGTTCTTTTTGTGAAAGAAATAATGGTTTGTACGTTGTTTTAATAGTAGTTTTGAAGTATATTTTTATCAATTAATTTATGTTATTACTACTATTATGACTTCTAAAATTTCTAAATATCCATATGTTGCAGCGACTCAAAATACAACAAAAATTATGTTAAAGTAAGCATTCATATGGCATAAAAGTGGTGTAAAGAGAAGATTCAAACATATGAATGAGGAAGTTATGAAGAAGTAAATAGGGAGGAATAAAAATACCTATCGGAGCCTCTCCGATGGGGCTTCAAAACGTTAAGTTTTCTCTCCTTGAATTTATGTATTTTCTTGTTGAGTTTTGTGTTACACTTGTTGAATTTTCTATGTGTGGTTCCCTCTGAAGTTTTTCTCTCTAACTTGATGTTCCTCTTCTGATTTTTTTGTGATTCTTGGACAAAACTCCTCCCTTTTTCTGTTGATAGAGGCCTTTATTTATAGTGAAATATATGGGGTTTTAGGGGGGAAAACAATAGAGATTTGAACTGTTTTGGCAAACTGTTTTCATGCTTTGTTCACACAGTTTATTTTAACCATTTTGATGCAATATGTGGCTACTTTGATGTAGGTTGGAGCAGACTATATAGCAGTTTACAACATATTTTGGCAGCATTTGGGTCTACTGTATGTTGCTGTTTTTTCAGGTTGTTTGTAGCATTTTACAACATCTTTTCTTTGGATTGCTATGCTGCATTTCTGGGCTAGTTTGCTGCCTTGCTAACCAGTAAAAATGCAACAAAATTGGGCTGGAAAATGGGTTGCAAAATGGACTGCATTAGCAACTTTGTTGGGTTGAATTTTTTTAGTGTTGAAAATATATTTTCTACAAACTTGTATCTTCTTTGCAAATTTGTAATAATAACTCAAATAAATTTGTAACATAAATGGAATTTGTTCTCCAATATAATTCCTTAAATTCATTTGTAAAATCATGAACAACTTTGAATCTTTGATTGAAATTTAGAATCTTGATATGTCTTGATAAAATTCCAAGTCTTCCATTTGAATTTGGGAAATAATTGAATAATACTTGGATGAATTGTTGAATGATGAATAAATAATAATGCAACCCTTAGGACTTCAATCTTGCATTTTGTAATAGAAATTAAATAAATCCCATGAATTGATCTTATAATAAAATAATGACCATCATGTATTTAATCTTGTGATGAACGATTAATTGGATTGAATTTCTTTTCCCAATATCCTCTTGAATAAGAGCTTCATGTGTGTTCAAATAACCATAATGTAAATTCATCAAAATAACCACACAAAATAATCTTGAATAAATATTTCCTGCGATAATTGATTATCCTTGAATGAGATCTCTTGGTAGCTCCTCTTTAACACTACAACATTTAGCCTCTCCAACAACAATTGAAAAGCATTGCCAGAACTCTGAAAATCGTTGCCTAAACAAATAGGGGACGTTTTCTAGGCGTCTCCTGTGCGAGCGTTGCCTATTGTTTGAGGCGACGTTTTTTTAAATTTTTTTGAGCACACTTTTGAAAAACATCGCCTATAGAAAAGGAATAGGGGACGATTATTTGCGGCCTCTGAGATGACGTTTTTTAAGCGTTGCCAAATTCGGCTACAATTAAGAATCGTTGCCTTAAACCTGAATCAGGAAGATCGTTTTTGAAGTGTAGCCATAGCTTATAGGTTGTTGTTTTATAGTGTCCACATAAAATATACAATTTTGCAAATATTATCAAAATAATATAGTCAATAATAATTGGCTTAAAAAATAATATTGATTATATAACTTAAACCATACATCCATAAAAGTTGTAATATAATAAAATCGAGTTCAAACTTTAATTCAAGATATAGTATATAGAGTACACAAAATGCCTAACGTAACATTACTTTTAATACTTTGAAGTATGACCTTAGTAAAAGAACTAAAAACATAGTTCAACAAAAGAAAAAAATCATATTTCAAGTTTAATGCTTTCAACTACAAGCCAAAAAAAAGACATCATCCAACTCACTCAAGTTTGTCTTCTAGGAGTAAATCATCCAGATCGTCCTCTTGATATTCGTTAGATATGTCATCCTCCATAAATTCTTCATCTACGCCGTCCTCTTGAAATTCACCATCTATATCGTCCTCTTGAAATTCATCATCTAGATCTATGTCGTCCTCTTGAAATTTGTCATCTACGTCGTTCTATTGAATTTTATCATTTAGGTCGTCCTCTTGAATTTTATCATTTATGTCGTCCTCTTGAATTTCATCATTTATATCGTCCTTTTCAACATCTTCATTAATACATTGCTGCATATGAAAATAAAATAAAACACATCAACCATAAATATTTTTGGTCCAAAGGACAATTAAGACATCAACAAGAATTAAACCTCGCACAAATAAAAACTAAACCAATGAGCAAAACACATTGTTTATATTCTTCACATCTCATGTCATGGGTGGGCTTTATATTAATTTACTTATCTTATCATACCAGGAATATTCATAAAAAATACTCAATGTTTTACTTTAAGTCTATATGTCTAAAGTTGAAAATTTAGATTTTTCTCTTTTGCATATAACAAATCTTAAACAGTTTCAACCACTTCTAGGTGTTGTCACTACTTAAACAATTTCAACCACTTACTTTATTCTAGGTTTTGTCACTACTTGCAAATTTTTTCATACATTAACAACCATTTTGATACTATAACATAATTAGAAAAATATAAATCAATAATATTGGTATATATGGTTACCTTTCCATGACATGGAGCATGAGTTGATGTAGATGAATGCATTTGCAGTCTTATATCCTTTGGGGAACTATTAGCATCTCCATGAGATAATCCTACCAAATCTTCAATTGACTCTATATTAATTTGAGGATTGCATTGTTCTATTACGGTCTTAAAAGCATTTTGCAATCTATCAATCTTATCTTTAAACTCGTCCCTTAATGTATAGACCTATTCACTGTGGGCTTGTTTCAAAGCATTAATCTCTGCCTTTCTCTTTAAGGAAGTTTTAGTTATGTTTCTCCCATAACAGCGTACCCTTCCTGGACACTCCTTTCCAAAAACAACTTTAAAAGCTTCTGTATCACTTTCCTCCTTTTCAACCATTTCTTGAAGTTGGGACTAGCATAAATTACAAAAATATATATTAACTACTATTATAGACAATGTTGGCCGATTATATTAAGCAAACATATTATATAAACAATGTTACATACAATTACTTTTCCAGTTTCTACATCCAGTTCCTTTCCTTTATTTCCTTTTCGAGTTTCAACAAACATTTCTGATTGAGTGGGCTCTCTTTTTTCCTTTTCACGCTGCACAAATCAAAATAATTCCATAACAAATCATGTGAATTAAAATTCCTATTCATGAGTCAAAGAAAATTTTTTCACGAATACTTTAATTGAACAAAGAAACATTCATACCAGGAATACTTTATTGAGAACAAAAGAAAGTTACCACTTTTTCACGAGTCAAAGCAAAGTTTTTGGGACCCATTCGATGCATCCACTTTAGTTGAGCTCTATTTCTAGTGTTATTTTCACTGATTGCCTACTGTTGCACCCCAAAATTGCCCTCTCATATTTCTCAAGACATTGCAAGAAAAATCTCCAAGTGGCTCAAGATTGCTCAAGAGTTGTACAGTCAAGCTATCTCCTAAGACAGTCAATCCCAAATTAGGGTTTTGTGTTGCATATAGATATTTGGGTCCAAATGACCTCAAGTTCTCCCCAATGTCCTAATATGTTCTCAAGGTCATCCATGTCAAATTTCAAGCCTTGCAGAGGAAGTTTGCCCAGTCAATTGCTCAAAGGGTCCAAAGATCGACTCTGCTAGGGCAAAAGTCAACTGTGACCTATAAATAGTCAAACTTCAAGATTTTTTTGTCAAAATTCTCATTTTGAAGGATATTTCATCATTTGATCAAGGGTTGATCAAGATTCATCAAAGATTGCTCAAAATTCATCAAGATTCAAAAGTTGCTAAATTAGGGTTTTGTAGGAAAAGTCAACTCAAATTTGACCAAGCATAACTTTCTCAAAATTTATGATAAATGACCCATCCAAAGCTCATTTTGAAGATGATGCAATTTCCTACAATCCATATTCATACCCCAATATCAGAAAATGCACTCACAAGAAGTTATAAATTTTGACATTATAGGTCATTTTTGAATGTCAACAAAAACACCTTTTTTCCAAAGCTTATAACTTTAGCATGGAATAGCAAAATTAGATGAGACCAAATGGGTTGGTTATAGGACATCACAAGCTTTCTAAAAAGTCAAAGAACACTTCCAAAAGTTCAAAATTGAAGAAGTTATGCATTGTTGAAGTTGGGAATTTTTGCAAAATTGCCAAAGGTCAACTATCCCCAAAACATCAAATTTTGTCAAATGGGCCCAATCTTTTCCACTTGATTTGGACTTGACACATTGCACACGTGTCCTAGCTTCATCCTTGTGTCCATTTATCAATTTTATTATTTTATTTGATTTTTTATTGAATCATTTCATTTTAAATTAAATTAAATCAGATAAAATCCCAAAACTTGATTACATGAGATCTTTTGCTATTTTCAGGACTTAATCATCATCATGGTCAGCATCAAATTCATATCTCACCATATCATGAACAAAAAGATGGATTTTTGACAAATTAGGCAAGCTTTCAATGGTGGATCAAATCAAATCTCATGGCATTGATGTGCAAAGATTCAATCCACAAATGTTAACCTAACACATTCCATGATACATATACAAGCCAAGGCACACGAAAACAAGGCTAGAGGCTGCAAGAACACTGAAAACAAAACTTGAAAAAAAGTGGAAAAAGTGTGAAACCAAAATCACACTTAGAGGAAAATTCAGAAGCCAAGAACGATCTCAATCGTTTCCTTAACAATCATTGAAGAAAAACCAACCCCGAGCAAGCTCTCATATCCATCAAAACACGCTGTAAGTGTCCCGTTTCTTGACCCTGTTTTCAAAATCGTAACTCTCTATTTTGGCATCATTCTGGCAAATCATGGACATATTCATAATCCTCATCAAATTTCCAAACTTTATGTATTATCCAATTTCATTTATCTGATATGTGAGGCCAAGTGTCATATCTAGGGTTTCGTGGTTCGTTTTTGGGCGTTTCTTTTACAGGTAAAATCAGCCCCAATAATGGCCATGGACACGACCGGAAGAGAAGGACGAACTCAACCATGTGCTTGGAATTGATTTTCATGGGCTGTAATGAATTTTAGAGTGAGCCTATGCATTTAGCTGCAGATCTAAATCCGCAGGTAAAGTTACAGGGTTTGAAGGTCAGGGACGACAAACATGTCACCCTCTTATTGGACCATTCAAACATTCGCACACATTTTTTTTATTCTCTGGAAATATAACGCGTTTTACCTTATTATCATTTTTGTTTAATATGCTAACAAGTAACACACAATGGCCTAGTGGTGAACGCGTGCATCCAAACTCCTTCAGGACCTGGGTTCGAATCCCAGGTCCCCCATAAGCTTTGTTATAATTTTTCTTCAGGTATTCCAGTGCGCCTAAGGAGTGGCAGTACATCATACACCATCATCTAATCAATGGACAGATGGCCAGTGGCCAGATCTGATGGATGGAGATGGAACGTCCACCATGGAACCAAGTCAAAGTGCACACACTAGATCTCACAAAGTCAGCCAGGCCAACACAATTGGGCCATGGAATTTGCTTCTCAAACCCCATTAATCAGGCCCACACCCCTAACTCATTCTATTTATTTTTTTATTTTATTTTAATTGTTTGTTTTATTATATTTTTATTATCAATTAACCAATCAATTTTTTTTCTTAATAAAATTAAAACCAAAAACATTTTTCTTCACAAAATCAATTTTAATTTTTATTAACAAATATTAATTTAATTAATTTAGGCCATTAATTAGGAATAACTTTAATATGTTTTTTTCAATAATTAAAATTAACTTAGACATAATTAGGTTTTTATTAACATTGATCAATTTTATTTTTCTTTCTTTAAATACCAAAAAACCCAAAAATATTTATTTTTATTAATTAGTTTAATTAATTTAATTTAATAATTAATTTAGGATAGTTTATTTCTTAAAATTCAAAAACAAACAAAAAAGTCTTTTCTTTAGTAACAAAGGGTCAAAACCCTAGGACTTGCGCCCGATTTAATTTCCCGCACGCGATCCATTTTATTCAATATTGTATTTGTTTCTGGAATGTAATAGATTATTAGGACTATTTTTATCGCTTTATTTATTTTCCGCATTTAAATTTCAAAGGGTTGCTTTTGGCAATGTAAATACCCGAGGCCTTGTAATTTAATTTCCGCAATTTATTTTCCGCAATTTATAATTGTTAGATGTTTGATAATAGGTATGCATGACAAAAATGAATGTTTAAACCTAAAATCAACTTAGATCACCATTAACATGTACAAAGACAAAATAACTGAAAACGACACACTCGCACATGCGCACTCTTAGGGTACACCCCACTTGGTTGCCTTCATACGCGGTCATTGAGTATAGGTCACTTTAGAGGTCGTCCTCTTGTCCAAAGATCATAGTCGCCTCGAAACGGTTGCCTTAGATATTGTTGCCTCAAAACAAATGATCTAAGACATTAGGGTTACCGCTAAGGCGTCCTAACATTGCTTTGGTGACCGTAAGTCCCTAAATTCGAATTGACCCTCAAACTCCAATGACGGTGCTACCTACTCATCAATAGTTGGATAGCATTGTCTAAAGGAAGATAGCATAGAACGATTCCTTTTTCGAGTAGGTAGATGGTTCTTAGATACTTGCTCTTTCAAAACAAAACAAAATTTTCACCCTTACACTCCTTTTCAAACAAAGACGTTTTCAAACCCACGAACACAAAGAAAGCATTTTTTGAAAACAATATGAGAAAGTACCTAAGAGCCCGTGGATAACCACAGATAGAAAGGGTGCTAACACCTTCCCTTTCTATAATCTACCCCCCGAACCCGAAAAATATCTCGAAAAAGGAATTTTTCTGTGCTTTTTTCCTTTCCTTGTTGGATAAAATAAAAGTCGGTGGCGACTCTTGCTTGCCGCGACATTTTGTGAAAACAAACGCAAAACGCAAACCAGCATTCCAAAAAACAGTCAGTTCTCTCCCACCGTATCACAGAACTGGCGACTCTGCTGGGGACGCTTAATAAGTGGGGTGTACCTTAGGATTAGATCATTGTGTTTTCAATTGTTCGCTCTGTATGATTTATCTTTGTGGGCTTGAATCGGAGTTACTATAGATCCTAACCTGGATCTGGGGGATACCCTTTAGGTAAGTAGCAATAAACTGTGAGGGAATTGTACAGCGTAGACCGATATGGTTGAAGCAGTAGCTACGTTGATGTGGCACTTTAGTTTATACCGATATCCCTTATGTTGGAACGAGGAGAATATGGGTCTGCTAAGGGGTCATTAAGTGCCAACTGACCTTAGAACCTTTAAATTGACCAACTTGGCCATAAAACAGTAGCAGTATGCTACACTCATTGAGACTAAACTCTCGCGATGATTCCGACCGCAAGAAAAGGTTGCTAAACTGGAATTATGACCGATTGAGGGTAGTCAGTGATATTGAGATCCTCTAGAACCCGGTTACTGTTTTTAGGACAAGTTTAAACCAACTGAACTGAAAGAGGGTAGTACCTAGACTCCTTGCCAGCCTGAAATCTAAGGGCTCTATGTGTGACTTGTGTGCCTTTACCATGTTTGCTATTTGTGGATACTTGTGGTGTGCTTTCTATCATGACATCATAACATCATAACATTGCATACATCTTGCATTTGACTAACCTATTTCAAAGACAGGAGGGATTCATCTTTGTTCTGTTTTGTAGGTCATGGCACCCGTGCGTAGGAACACCATCCGGATCAACTTTGTCCAGGTTCCCACTATGCTTAAAGAATTGGTTGCAAAGATGTCTGATACTACCTCCTTCATCAAAAGACATGGGCATCTTCTTAGTTTGGTCACCTCCAAATTGGACGAGCAGATGATGAGTGTCCTAGTCCAGTTCTATGATCCACTGTACCATTGCTTTACTTTTCAAGACTACCAGTTGGTCCCCACCTTAGAAGAGTTCTCTGATCTGCTTGGTATCTCTATTCTGGAGCAGACCCCGTTCACAAGTTGGGAGAAGATCCTTAGGCCAGAAGAGATTGCTTCAGCCCTTCATATGACAAAAGATGAGGTAATGGCTAATTGGGAAACTCGTAGTGGAGCAAAGGTCTTTCTGACTAAGTTCTTGGTTGGTAAGGCTAATTATTTCTGGGATAGTCTAGACTTCAAGGCATTCGAAGATATTCTGGCTCTTCTGATATATGGCTTGGTATTGTTTCCGAACTCTGACTCCTTTGTTGATGTGTATGCGGTAAAAATCTTCATCTATGGTAACCCTGTATCCACTCTCTTGGGTGACATTCTTCATCAACTTTATGCCCGTA